ACAGTTAGGATCGCATCAGCCGCGGATTTACATGCTTCTATTATCATTTTATTTGAGACTTTGTCTTCACCAGATGATTTATTTAAAGGCAAAGTTTTAACAATAGTTACGAGCTCGTTGATGGACGGTAGATCAGACACTGGTGATTCAGGCGGTATAGCTGCCCACGACCTAATCTGTTGATGGTAATCATTGTCAGTCTCGAATACATCATCAGGGACAAGCTCATCGAGTAGAACTTCCGTTGTCTCCTCAATACCGGTGGTGTGAACATTGTTGACTTTTATGTTCTGTACGAATGCCAGATCAACGGATCTATTAGCTTTGAACTCATGGTATAGAGGCGACCACGGGCCCTCCTTATCTAATTTTTGTACAACCCTCCGCAGCAAATCACCCTTGGCTTTCTCCACCGAAGCTCTATAGCGTGACCTGGCAACTCTAAACGCAATCAGTGCTTCATCAAAAACGGTACCGGTTACCCTACGTTTCTTTAGTCTATTTAACTGTTTGCGCGCTTTACGAAAGCATTTACGTTGTTCGACTAGATAGTTATTCCACCAGTCGCATCTACGCGTACTTGTCAAGGACCCGCGACCAAAAGCGATGTCGGCACAGTAAGTAAAGGCATCTGACATGATTTCAGCACCCTCCTCGGCCGAGAGATCTCTGCGAGTGAAATCTTTGGCTTGAGATGCAAATAATGAACTAAAAAAGTTCCAATCCGCGCCCTTAGTCTTGTACCTAAAGCTATCATTGCAATATGTTGGACCCTGGGGTAATGTTGAAACAAACTCGTACACGATCAGGCGATGATCACTACACGACGCATCTGGTAGGACGCGCCACCTATCCAAGCTAACGTCTGCACTAGAAAGTGTGACGTCAATACAAGATTCGCCCATTTGGCTGCAAAAAGTAGGTGGTGCATCAGGGGTATTATGAATGGAGAGATTCATTTCGGCAATGAATTCTTCAACAGCACAGCGCCGTTCCATGTCAGTAGCCCTGACCTTGCCATACCACAAGGATGAAGACGCGTTAGCGTCAGCACCAATGATAATTTTGGAGCCCGCAAGTGATTGCAAGACGTGACGGAGGTGATGAATATGAGGAGTAACTGAGTCAGAATATTGAAAGTAACAGCTCACAACGTACAATTTACAATTTCCCGAAGCAATCTCCGCGACGGCACAGTGCGACGTCATTAAATTAGATATAGATGTTACAGTGAAATTAGGTGATTTCGTGACATAAATTCCGGCCCGCGACCTGCCATCCAGCTGCACTACCCTGTGCCGTAAGTGGGTATATTGATATTGTTCTTGAATAAGTACTATGTCAAGTTGATAATCAACAATTAATTTATCTAACTCAGACGTCGCAATCCTATCGTTATGGAGATTCAACTGCCCTATGGTTAGCTTATCCATACTATTATTTAATAAGTTGTATTCAGTCTTCTTCCGCCTTGCGTAAGGCGACAGGAAGAGTCAGACTCTTACTGACTTAAAACCATTCCATCCCTACTTCAGCTTCGAGTCGGAGCCACGCTAACCCGGAAGGTTGTTAGCCACCGGAATCAGGAAATTAAGCGCCATTTCACCCCATGGCTTGAAAAGCATGAAAAGCCGATCACCCTGTGTCTTGTCTATCCACTCTCTGATCTTCAGCAGACTGAATATTGACCCCACAAAACACCCATTTCAATAACATCTTGTACTAAAAATCCCATACAAATAAAGGTCACTTTCTATCGGCAATGTATGTCTAAGGCTCGCTATACATACGTACAAATTGACATTTTTGTATGATTAAGACGCCATGGTCGTACGACTAGTCGCGCAACTGTTTAAAGAGACAGCAAAACAAATACTAGGGTTGATTCGGTCGCCGTCAACTATTTGCGCAATCAAGTTGACGAAGTTACTAGGTTTTGTGTCTATACTGCAGCTGTAGCCAATTGCCATTTAGCGCTTGTCTACATGTAGAATAGAAAACCAAATTATATGGAATTGACGTAAATTTTGACACTTGTCAGTGTCATCCCCATACATTTTGATTTCTACTCTCTCTGTAGACAAGCGCTAAAGTCGCGTTTAGCTAAAGGCCCTGGCGTCGTACAACCATGTTATCTTGATGAAATAAGGCTGTAAGTTGTAAGATTTTTGACTATTCTATCTAAACTTTCCGGTCTAACTTCAATCAATTTCCAACTTTATCATTTTGTCATAAAGTTGATAATCTACCGGAGATGTTTGACAGTCTACTGTAGCTTTATGAGCTGGCATCTGTATAATAATCGGATATGTAGAATCTCTTGTCAGTTGTCCTGTAGAGCGACTGTCGGGCAATATGGAAGCAACGTATAGTTGCCTGCTTATGAGTCACGGATTATGTAGTAAATGGAATTACCTCACGCAAAGTCGTTGTTTGTATTTTTATTTTAGACTAGCTGACCCGGCAAACTTTGTACCGCCAAAATTTTTTACTCACCTTTTTATACCTTCCCTGGACTACCACGAACATTTCAAGACCAAAATCATCCAAATCGATTCAGCCATTCTGGAGGTTTAGCGAGACAAACGAAAGGAAACTCATTTTTATTTATATAGATTCATTAATTTCTTTACCACATTAGATGCCGTGTCTGACGCTAGCGGACGATTGGCATTTAACCGTTTTTGTCGACAGTTAAGGGCTTAATTAAATGCTATATTGAAAGATTAATTTCTAACATTAGTCTTGTCAAAAACGTAAGTCCATATATTAATATGTTTACGGCTTACTTGCGTAATTATTGACCCGCGACACTGCGACTGTCGTGCTGCTACTGACTGAAATGCTGCTCATGAATATAAGCCTCTAGTATGGATTGAAACTAGTCGAGTTCCTCGTCAATAATTACGTGAGTAAGCCGAAAACATAATATATTTAGTATGTCTCGCGAAGGTTATAATACAACATAAGTCCATCTCGGATAACGATCCGTTATAATTTTGTTTCGACCGTTAAACCTCCATTTACTACGCAATCCACGACAAATAATGAACTTATATACAATATCTATACCTTTTGTACCAAACTATATACTTTCATTGAATACCAACAGAACAGCTACATCTAACTTCATCATTCAGCTATTTATTTCAGAATTTCTTTTAAAAGCCGTACAAAGCTAATAATTGATATATTTTGGTGATTAAAACTCTCTTTTTTAATATTTTTTCATTCATTTCTTAGCGAGAATCGAGCGTTTTTGTATTTAAACGAAAGACAATCAAGTTATCCAGAATGCAGATAACAAATTAAGATAGATTCAGTACAGAGACAGTAACTATTGTTATACTACATTGTATGATTTATAACGAAGACATATCTTTAGTAACTCACGCTCTAGACAACCAATGGCTACTGTCTCTGTACTGAATCTATCTTTATTTACTTACTTGCATACTAAGTAGTTTGGTTGACAATGCATTTTAAATGTCGCTTGGACAGTCAACCTCGCTACATCCTTGTTGACTGGACATCTACACTACATGAGTCACTGTTTACATGTGAACATTAGCTCATGACGATACCAAAGTACGTGTGTCGCCTGGACAGTCAACCTCGCTACATCCTTGTTGACTGGACATCTACACCACATGAGCTGTTGTTTACATGTGAACATTAGCTCATGACGATACCAAAACGTTCGCTCACGCAACAAAAACGCTATATCCCCGCTAACACAGTACTATCATCATACAAATTACAAAACACCACAATCATTCCAACTAAACATTGTTTATACACAAAGCAAACTTACTAAACTCTAACGTTACCTGCGTCGCAACTGCGGGGCGACTGCGTGGCGAGTGCGTGGCAACTGCGTGGCGACTGCGTGGTATATTTCACCGTCGGTCGTTATTGTTACGGTATGCTATTCTCTGCTAGTACCTATAGTAGTTGGGTTTAAAAGGGCCTACTTTATTTAAGCCTAAGTATTTCGCCTGCTCGTCCGTAAGTTCCGTCAGATGGGCGTCGAATGTAGGAAGGTGTAGACTGGCTACATACTCGTCCATTTTCTTTGGTAATAGGTATACGTCAGCCTGCAACAGAAAGTATGATTCATTGTGAAAACATCCTTATTCGTATGAGCTTACAGTTGAATTTGAATAAATTGGGGACCTAGTCTTATTTTATCACTAGCCATAATATTTTATTGTTGCCCATGACTTCGTCCGCGTACAATAAAGCCCTCTGGCAGAATTTAGGCTTGTAAATTAGTCTTTATCAAGGGATATTCTACGGTAATGAATGTCGTTACAATTGATTCAGTACCTAGTACAGGACTCCTTCGTAGATGATAGCGTGATAATATATAGCCTCTATATTGACCCAACTTGTCAGTAATATTCATGCAAAATTTAAAGTTAATCCATGCAGTACTTTTTGAGATCACCCCGGACATACATACAGACAAATGGACAAAAATTTTTGTGCGTGAGGTTACCGGAGGCGCAGCTCCCTCCCCCTTCCCCAATCTCCCCAATCCTCGAATCCCTAACAATCCTCAAACTCCTAATCCCCAAAAGGCAGGTAACGCACTTGTAACGCTTCTGGTGTTCCATGTGTCCATGGGCGACTCCGATTGCTTACCATCAGGTGAACCGTCTGATCGTTTACGGCTTATGCCGTAAAAAAAAATCCACAACCATCCCTTGTTCTCACCAACCATCCCTTCCTATCCCAACTGTCCACTACCATCATCATCTTCTCTTCTTACCTTATACCGATGATGTGGTGCATTGTACAGTTCGATGAGTGCGAGCGCCTGTGTGGCGGCGGTGACGGAGACCACGAACGATGGTAATGAGGAACAACATAAGTTCGCCAGTCTACCTTCCGCTAGGAGGACTATGCGTTTGCCGTTTGGCCATATTATGTGGTCCACCTGTAGGCGAGATGAATGTATATTAACTCGTCGAGTACCGGTTTTGTAGACACAATTATGGAACAATAGGTTGCGGTCACCGGTGACCGCTTGGTGTTTGACAGTTTAATCACTGGTTCTTAAACTGTCAAACACCGCGAGGACACCGGTGACCGCAACCTACTGTTCTTTAATTGTGTCTATAATGACGGTACTCAAAGGGGTAGTTTCCAGTGTATGAAAATTAAAAATCTAATTAGTCCGTCAGTTAGATAATGAAAAAAAATTAGACACGTATTTTTTTACTTTCTCGTATTACGTTGCAATACTTAGATAAAATGGCGCTAAGTTTAGGAGTGGGAGGTCGTTACGTCGTAACGTGCTACAAAATGTGACACGCTGTGACTCCGTACTACTACTGAGAATTTTTTAAAAACTCAGTTGCGATGTGGAGCAATGAGGAAGACGTGTTACTGTTAGGAATATCTTTAATTGAGTGTCCTAATATCAATCTTACGCTACTTTGTAGTTTACAGTTTTGGTTGTTATACAGTAATACTTTGTCCGACCCGGGAATCGAACCCGAGACCCCTTGCCCGGCAGTTGCACTGGCGACCACACGACCAACGAGGCAGTTTAATGACTGCTTATGAAAATTTCCATGTAAAAAATCATTTGAGTATATTTATATCTCTAACCTGACTCCTAACTCGCTCCCACAGTAGGTCTGGCGTGCGCAGTGCGTGTACGTCGACCTCGGTGTTGCTGTGTCCCATGTTGCAGACGACGCATCCATTCTTCATGCGCTCCATGTGTTCCCGGGTCACCACGCCCTTGTTGCCCGTCGCTGTTATCACTATATCCACTTGTCTTATCACCTGGAAACAAATATAACGTAATAAATAAACAATGTTATAATTCCACTACCAATGAACGGGAAAAAATTGGATTGCGCGTACAAAGTCGCGGAGAGACGCTAGTAAATAAACAAAAAGAACTTTTCTTTACTTAAAGATAAAGATAAAGATAGTTTATTTGCAAATATGGGTAATACAATTTGTGGTGTTTAGGTACATTGCGAGCTCAACCATATTTTACCAGTAGGCATGCAAATATGAATTAATAGATTATTAAAAAAAATTAAATTATATAAAATAAAATCAATACTATGCTATGTACTTATTAAATTGATTACAGAAATTAAAATAGTCGCATTAACAAAATATAGGTTATATACTTATGTTATGAGTCCTATGTAATAAGGGTTTATTTTTTTTAAGGGGTAAACCATCGAATGTCTGCTCCCGCCTGGGTGAGACGGAAGGGAGTGTCAGACTCTTACTGACTAAAAACCACCCCGTTCCTACTCCTGCACTTGGAACCGGAGCCCCGGTAACACGTTCAATTCTCCGCGGCTCCGTATCGGCATCAGCCCTATTATTGGGCCCCATCTGTGGTGGTCTGATGGCTCTTTAAGGCGCTCGCAGAACGCGACGCGCCGTACGCTCGGGTCAGGGGGCTTACTCTTGAATTCAATTCCGATCGGTCGACATTGGTATTGTGAAATTTCGTACTCTTGAGTTGCAACACTAGCGCCCATTGCATTCGTATTGCGTGGATATTGAATGAACTAAATAGTATTGAGTTTGACATTATATTCCGTACTCTGAATGTTATTTTAACAGCTACGATTGTGGTTGTATAGTTTTGACATTGAATCATTATTGAGATTTAATTCGATTGAAATTGCATAGACATTGGGATTGGTTTTAAGAGTAAGCACCCAGGTTCTGGGCGGGCGGTGAGCTACTGATGCTCGCCGTCCGCAGACCCGTGTTTACGGTGGCCGGAGATCGTCTCGCGATCCCTGATGGCCGTTGTGTCCTTCGCGATGGCTGGGTTGTGAGGAGGCAGAGCTTCGCTGCCTCCCGCGCTCCTCTCCTCCGTGTAATAAAGGGTAAGCCTGTTGCGATACACCGGCCGAACAAGTCTAAACTTTCAACACTTGGACTTACAGTCTATAACTTCATGACATGTCATTTGACGGATAGCGCGTAAACGACGCCATATTGCCGCTACGTGGATCCAATTTTATTTCTACGCAAGATGCAAACATTCGTCAACTGACAAAAACATGCGTTATAACATTCGGTTACGTGGACAATTGACTTTAAGCGTTTTTACACGAAAATTCTTGCCGTTCTCTATAGGGGTATTCAACTTCACCTTTATGATACCATCATAAACTGTGGGACAATACTTAGTTATCAATTGTCATATTTTTTCCCTATTGACATTACAAAGTTACAAACAGGCATTTTAATTGTTAAAGTTGAACACAATTTTTTTTCAATAATTTTCTTGTCTCTATATCCAAAGGTTGAGTCTTAACAATAGCTGCCCACATTCGCTGAAATATTCAAACGTCACACAAATTTAAGTCGACTGTAAGTGTCACTACAATTTATTTATTTTTTTATGACATAAGCCGGTTAACGAGCAGACGGATCACCTGATGGTAAGCAATCAGCGTCGCCCATGGACACCTGGAACACCAGAGGCCTTACAAGTGCGTAACCGGCTATTTGGGGATTAAGAGTTTGAGGATTGTTGGGGATTCAGGAATTGGGGAGATTCGGGAAGGGGAGAGTAATTGGGCCTCCGGTAACCTCACTCACATGACGAAATATAACGCAAGTGTTGCTTCACTATGGTTGTCTGCTCGTTGGTGGTATCACTCCGATCGAGCCGGTCCATTCGTGCCGAAGCATGGCTCACCCACACTTGAATTTTGTAAAATGCCAGGCAAGGCGGTACTCAGCCCACGCAGGGCATTCCGCGACAGTGTGTTCCACCGTGTCCTCAGGGCGGTCCTCGCAGTGATGACACCCGGGCGTTTCCTCCCGCCCCATCAGACACAGGTACTTCCCAAAACTTCCATGTCCGGTGAGGACCTGCGTCAGGCGGTAGGTGAGGACGCCGTAGCGTCTCTCAAGCTACTCCTCAAAGAGGGTGCCTTGCTGCAATGGCAGCGAGCCCAGCCCTCGGTTGCGACAGTCGTTGCTGCCATTTTAACATGAGAGGATGCCCTAGACGGACATATGTCAGTACATATGTCCGTCTAGGGCATCCTCGTCTGGTCAGTACCAGATAGACGGTATATTAAAGAAAGGCCAAATTAAAGTACCTTAACAAACGACCATGCATGAAAAGATTGATGACTGTTAAAGACTGGAGATGAAGCGAAAGAGATATGCATGTGATATGATATGTAAGCAATAGGGGGTAGGTTAGACTATGGGAAACCTAGAATAGTTAAATAATAAGCTTAGATTAAGTATATGTGAACAAAATGGAAATAAATATATTTATTTGTTTTGATTTTATGGGAGTCTCTACCTACCCCCATGGGAGACAGGCGTGGACATATGCATGTATGTATGCATTATCAAATTATTTATGAGATAAGGGTAAACGCGTAGAGGTCTCGCCTAAAGACCAGAGGGATTGTAAATATGTGTGTTGCTGGCCTTTCAACAATATACGTTCACTTCTTAAAGAATTGAAGATAGGATCGTTTATAAAAGAGATGAATAAACAAATCATCTTAAGTGTGAAAGAGCCATGCTTCGGTATGAATAGTCCGGCTCGACGGGAGTGATACCACGGCCGAGTAGAAAATCGATGTGAAACAACGCTTGCGTCGTGTTAGTGACGTTAACTGAGGCCCAATTACCTTCTCCCCCTTACCAAATCTCTCAAATCCCTGAATCTCCTAATCGCACTTGCAATGCCTCTGGTGTTCGTGTCCATGGGCGACGCCGATTGCTTACCATCAGGTGATACGTCTGCTTGTTTACCGACTTATGCCATAAAACTCACCTCGTTTAATTTGACGACTCTGAACCCATCCATGGCGGCTTGTAATGCGCATATTGGATCTATCTCTGTCACGTACACCTGTGAACATAATAATAGCAGAATTAAATTAATAATAATATTATTATTATTTTATTATTTTTTTTTTATGGAATAGGAGGCAAACGAGCAGACGGATCACCTGATGGTAAGCGATCAGCGCCGCCCATGGACACCCGCAACACCAGAAGAGTCACAGGTGCGTTGCCGGCCCTTTAAAAAGGAGTACGCTCTTCTCTTGAAGGTTTGAAGGTCGTATCGGTTCGGAAATACCGCCGACGACAGATCATTCCACAGTTTTGCTGTGCGAGGCAGGAAGCTACGTGAGAACCGCACAGTAGTGGCCTGCCAACCATCTATATGATGGGGATGCATATGCTGTCGTGAGGGTCGATGGCGAAAAGATGCGGCAGGTATCAGGTCAAACAATTCCTCAGAGCACTCCCCGTGGTATAAGCGGTAGAAAATGCACAATGAAGCTACATCTCTACGCATTGCCAAAGTGTCGAGCCGGTTTGAAACACCCGGACATCCAACAATCCGAACGGCA